ACAATTTACACAGGCGTTGTGGATACAGATTTCATTCCAGCGGTGCATCTTCTGAAAAGCAGCTGGTCAGGAAGATGTCACTGCTCAAAAACTGTAGCCTCTGATAACCAGGAGCCAACACTGAACCTGGAGTCTGCATTCAGGGCCCTACCTCACGCTTACCATACCATCTTGCTAGAATTGAGAAGTGAGGTTTAGTAGGGTCTTATTTTGAATATTTAAATTAAGGCTTGGCTTTTGTTACTGTCTTTGGGAGGGGTGGTTTCTTTCAGTTATGATTATTTCCCTTTTACTTGATTCTGGGAATAATAAATCCTGGAACCCATTCAGGCTCTGTATGACTAGGCCCAAATGGGACCATTGCAGCCACCTCACTGCCCGCGTCAGCTCCTCCCTCGGGTGAGGCCGGATGCTCGGGCCCAGCCCGGGGAGTCCTGAGTGAGGGTGGCCGCCAGCCCAGCGGCGCCCTGGCCATGGTTTCCAACGCACGCCCTGCGACGACACTCCAGCCCCACTTCAGTCTGATTTTACAGGAATTTTTAAAGGTTTCACCCAGGCAGGGGTTTTAAACCCACTTCCTACTGACTCCATCAGTCCCACGCAGCCTCTGCTCCGTGCTGGCTTACTGAGCAACGACAGGGTGCTGAGAAACAGCACAGCCTTGTTCCAAAGATGAGCACGCTTTCAGTGAGATGGATTCCCAGGGAACAGCGCTCTGGAAATAAACACACAACGACCTCTCGGATCTAAATCTGCTACTTCCCCCTCCTCTCCCGAGGCCCCGTGCCACAGCGTTTGACCCCCTGAAGCTGGCAGACCCTAGCCCCCAGCAAACTCTGCTAGATCTAATGCCCCACTCCTGGGGGCCGGTCCCCTCCCTCACAACCAGCCTCTGGGGCCAGCTGTGTCCTGCGGCCTCAGTCGAGCACGCGGTCACCGGAGGGTTACGGCACACGAGCGCTGCTACAGACGCGGCCCGGCACACAAAGATGAGGGCCACCCGGTCTCTGTTCTCAGGGGCACAGTTCAGGCTTCCGGCCTGAATGCGGAGGGCGTGAGCACACCTGTCCAGGTAGAGCCAGGCGCGGAGTCAGGGAGGGGCCCTGGGGGCCCTCGATGTTCTCAAGTGATGGGTAGTCAGGGATTAAATGTGAAGAGCGGGGAATTCCGTGCTCCCGGAACAGAGGTGGAAAATCAAGTTCTTCCACAACCCTGCTTCCCAACGAAGAGCAATTCAAGGACCAAGAGCACAATTTTTGCCATTTCTCATAACATTTTTGCCATTACTGGTTACCTCCTTTACGTATTACTATTTTTCTTGAAATGGACTCGTAAGTTTATACTTACATAAAATTATGGTAAAAGGAAAACATCGATGTTAAGGGGAAATTTTACATTATGATCATAAAATGAAATACCAGTATCGCTTGCTGTGACAGTAAGAGAGCGGCAAACGCACGGGGGCAGCAGCAGTAGTGCCGCTGAGTGTGGCAGGTCGGGTACGTGACTGTCCCACACGGGAGGGGCCGCCATGTGAACCTTTCACCTAAAATGTCACATGGTGTGCTTGAGTGTGGTATCGTCATGTCACAGAATTACATGCTTATGATGTTATAATAAGATTTTTATGTAATAAAAAAGGAACCTTATTTGTGCTGGCCTATAGATATATATATAGATAGATAGATAGATATACACGTGTGTGTGTGTGTGTGTGTGTGTATGAAATACTATGAAATCCAGTACTTTTGCCTGCCGAAGCATCCAGGTCTGAGGTCTGCTGTCTTTGTCAAAAAAAAAAAAAAAAAAAAAAGAAGGCACGTATTGGTGTGGTAAAAAGACAGTCCAGTCCCAAACGGAGCCTTTGAAAGACTGAAAGAGAACTAAGGGAATAACTTCCTCATTCTATGGTGGATGTTACTTAAGGCCCAGTCTCTGAACGACCTAAAAGCGTCCTGTGTCCCCACTGGGAGATGGCCTTCCTATGGGGGCCGGGGGAACGATGCTCGGGGACCAGGGCCTGCCCTGCCAACCTCACACTGACCTCACAGAGACTTCACAGGGGGCCCGGCCCAGCCCGCAGCCCAGCAGGCCTTGTCGGAAGGCCTCCGTCATTGCTGTCCTAAGTCCCGTTAACATTCTAGGATCTTTTGTTTCTTTTTCACAAAAAGTAAAACATCACGTTTATTTTTTGTTTTATAATATCACATCCCTCTCCAAAAAAAGTATTCATAGAAAACTTTTTTAAAAATGGAGAATATAACAAAAATCAGCTGATGAATAGATACCGTGGGCTACACAAGAGGAGAATGTAGATGAATGCAAATAGTCTCAAAGGAAAAGGAGGAACCTCTTTTGAGGCGTGGGCATTTCGGTGTCGGCCCAGTTTCTGAGGGGGCGCTCAGACAGGTCCCGGGGGCGGGAGCCCGGTTCTGTCGCCAGCAGGGCTGGCTTTATTCTCCCCTCTCTCTCGCATAGGTGCCCTTTCCTCAGATCTCGCCATTCGGCCTGGTAATAGCAATAGCGAGGGGAGAGCGTGCTAATGCATTGCAGCTGCGACTGCGTGCTCCTGCCGAGTGCTGCAGGAGCATTGCATTTTAAGGCGGTGCCAGGAATTAGGTCAGTGTTTTAAGCGGGCTATTTCCTCTAACCCACATCGCTGCGACTCTCAGACGTTCAAGCGCTAACTGCGGCCTGAGAATTTAATTCCAGGGCAGAGACTGCACCACTCTTCTCAGATCTGCATTCTTCAGAGCAGGCCTCCCTCCACGGACGCATCGCCACGTGGAAAGGAGCTTCTTACAGTAAATCGTACTTTCGTAGTTCTTCTCGTGTGAGGCCAGCTCAGGCCCTTAGCATAATTAACTTGTAATAAGCTCAAATGCCCTGACGCAGTAGCCTCACGACCACTCGTTAGAAGTGCGGGTCTTCATTCCAGACGTGTTTGCAGAGCTCGCTGGCACCGTCAGTGACGCTGGCAGAGCCTGACAGCGGCCGGCACCTCCAACACTGGTCGTCCGCTCCGTCCCCGAGGAGACATACGTGGTAGACATGGTCCTACAGCAGTCTGTAGCAGCCGTTAAAGTTTTTTTATTATTATTTTTAAAAAGCTTCACTATGCCATTTCCAGAAAGTCCCTGATGACAAATGCCAAAAGCCCAAATAAATATAAAAACACTATAATACACTGCGTTGTTCAGACAGAAATTGAGAATAATACAAAACGTTTTCTAGTTTTTTTAACATGGAACGTAAACACCCATCCGTTGACAAAGCCTTGGCCTCTCTAAGCCTCAGTTTCCCCTTCCATGCAGTAGGGATGATCCTGTCCAGCTCAGAGAGTTGTTTGGAGACCTGATGAAATAATGCACAGAAGGTGTTCACCACAGCAGCACCGTGTGTACCAACTTCGGCTCCTAAGAACCTGTTCGTGTTCTCACTGTCACGTGGCCTGGGGCTGGACCCAGCAGGACCAGGAGCACCAAGAGCAGCGATCGCAATCTTGCCCCCTGCCCGCGCGGGGGTCTCAGCCCAGGGTCTGTGGAGGCATAGGAACCAGCTCTGGAACACTACCCAGAACTGGAAACACTGCTTCTGCTCTCCTGGGCATCAGAGCTCTGGCGCTTGTGACCCAGTCACGTTTCAGGAGAGGAGCAACAGTTGACAAAATGGGGGTTTCTCCCAATAGAGAGAAAGCACAGAGAGGCAAAAGCTGAAGGAGAGAGCGAGCAGCATAAAAACGCCGCTGAGAGAACGGAGACGTGTTCTTGCAGCCCAGTCCCCACCTCTGCCTGCTTAGCTGCCGTTTCCTCCGGGGCTCACAGCCCCCACGGCCTGGCACCCCTGCCCCCTCCCACGGCTCCTCTGGTCCCAGGTGCACCATCAGACACCCCCTCCCTGGGGCTTCCCTCTGGGCAGCTACCTCGTCTGTTTTCACTCCCTGAGGGTCAGCTCAGGGGAGACACTCAGGAGAGGACGGCCCTTTGAGAAGTGGGGGCCCCACCTTAGATTGGGAACCCTCAGGTACACACAGCTTTGAAACTGTTCATTGTCTGTGGTGCGACTGGGGAGCCTGCCCTGCTTACTGTTCAATAGAGAACAGAGTCAGGGACCACGTGAAATAAAGCTGGAGTCAGAAGCTCCCCAGCCAGGTCTCTAGCAGAGGAGACAGAACCAAACCTGATTCGCTATAGATTATGTCAGGGCTCGGCGAAGGGCAAGAAGATGCCAGTGAGAAACGCAGAGGGCGCTGGCCACATCCGTGGCGTGGCCCTGCCTCAGCCTGCAGACCCCGTCTCAGCCCAGGGAGCTCGCGGGCGCTGCGGGCTAATGAGATCTGCCACTAACGAGCGTTCTCTCTCTAACCAGTCCCCATCACAGCCCTCTGCGGCGGAAACAGCTTTGAGTTTCATGCTGAAATGCAAACATCTTACCGGGGCCTTCAAGGCCCTTCGCTGTCTGGCCTGAGCTCTGACCCCATCAGACTCCCACTGGTCCCAGAATGTAACAAACCTCAACCTGATGCCCCCTTTCCTTTCACCCTCAAAACCTGGCTCTACCACAGGGAGCAAGCAGTGAGGATGCAGAGAAATGAAAGAAAGAGATGCAAAAGAGGTACAGGAGGCAGGAGGCATGTTCGATACCCATAAGAGAGGCATTAAAGCATCAGAAACAAAAATCAATCAGAACCAAGTATGCTGTTAGTTTCAACAGTATCTCAAGTATCCGGGAGGTAATTATGAATGTATTTTATTTTAACAGATATAGTCTTATTCTCCTCAGCCTGCCACATTCTCTAGTAACACCGAATGTCTTTTTAAAGTGAAGTCTCTAGTCCTAAGCCTTATCTTGTCCTTAATATTTCATCTAAAAGGACATAACATCTTCACCTGAAACCTGAGAGTAAGATTTGGACCCAAGCATTCTAAGACGAGTGTATTTTGCAGCTGGAACATAGCAAGTGGGATAAGACTTTTACATCTTCTTTCTTTTTCTTTTAGAAACAGGGAAGATTGACCAAGAGATTCACAAGTACAACACCCCAGGCTTCACCGGGTGCCTCTCCCGAGTCCAGTTCAACCACATCGCCCCCCTCAAGGCGGCCTTGCGACAAACCAACGCCTCCGCGCACGTGCACACCCAGGGTGAGCTGGTGGAGTCCAACTGCGGGGCCTCCCCGCTCACGCTCTCACCGATGTCGTCCGCCACCGACCCCTGGCACTTAGATCACCTGGACTCAGGTAAAGCCTTGGGCAGATCGCTTCACTTCTTGAAAGCTCGGTGTCTTCACCTGTAAAACAGGTTTTATAAAGGCACCTTGTTCATTCATATGCATACAGAAGCTCACAAACGAGTTAGCTTAGTAAGTGATTCAAGGTAGAGGTTTGCGTACCTTAGTTAGAAGGGGAAGAGGAGCGGAGAAGAGGCTGCTACGGATAGAACAGATGGCTTCCGGCAAGAACAGAGGAGAGGTGACGCTTGGGATGGCGCTTTTTCCTGCGGCTGTGAGGGGCTGCCTCCGCTTTAGGCCACAAGGCCCTGAGGGGGGGGTTCATGGTGGGTTTCCTCTTGGTCTCCTTCCTGGGCACAAAAGCCACTCAGAGGGGGAAATTTATGGCAGCCTCACTTCCCAGAAGTTCCTACTTTTAGTCAGACAACGGAAGCCCCAGAAAGATTTATTCCTGCACCTGCTGAATCACGAATGTCCTGTTTAAAATCATCTTCGTACCAACTCTGGGGGTCTACGTGGGTCCCCTCATCCACAAGTGCGCCCTAGATTCTGTGAGCCTAAGTCCCTCGTCCTGAAGTCCGGTTTGAGAGTTCTGCTTTTTTCCGATAACCTTCCATGTGAGAGTAGAGTAAGAATCCTCGCCGTCAGCTAGTCAGAAACAAAACAGTATATACACAGCGTGCCCTTGTGAGCTGTGAATCCAGTGTCGCCTGAGTGTGTGGAGGTGGAGGGCGGAGAGGGGGTGGGGGTGAGAGCCCCCTGGTCCTGGCCCGGACCGAGGGCGTGCGGGAGAGCGGCATCGCTGCCCCTGGTGCCTCGGAAAGCTTGTCAGAAATGCAGGATCTCGGGCCCTTACTCCAGACCCACTGAGTCAGCATCTGCCTGTTAGCAAGATTCCCAGGCTATGTGCTCACTAAAGTTTGAAAGCACTAACCTAGCATAGTGCTTCTCAGTCTCAGGTGCACTTTCAAATTACCTGGGAGCTTTCGAAATCCCGATACCCAGCCCACAGCCCTGGCCGAGGAGGTCCGGCGCCCTGGGGGTGAGGTCCAGGCGTTCGTCCCTGCGAAGCCTCCCCGGATGTGTAGCCAAGCTTGAGAACTGCTCACCAAATAGGAAGGAAGCTTATTACTAGCCCCCTTGGTGAGCCCTTTTAAACAAGGTTACCAAAAGAAAAGGAATTAATACCCAAATAAAGCAAAAAAAAAAAAGACAGTTTATGAAAAGCAGTGACGCCTTTAGGTGGTGAGGTCCCAAACGGAAAAACCGTGGCAATAAGCTTGCGAAAGATTGGGCTCCTCTGACCATGTTACAAGGAGGCTCATCGAGACAGAGAAGTTTCTGTGAAAACTTGCGGACAGCCGATCGGCCCCCTGCGGCTGGAAGAGCTGCCTGAAGACAGCACGGGGCAAGGAGCCTGCAGTGCAGGCGGCCCAGCGCCCGCGTGAAAGCCGGTCGTCACTGAAGGTGCCGCGCCCCGGGGAGAAGCCTCAGCATGGGGGACGTGTCGCAGTGCTATTCAATCTCTTGAATCAGTTGCAAACTTAATTTGAATGGACACAAGGGGGTTCAAGGGGGCAGTTACACTGCTTAAAATGAAGTATTTGGACCTTTGACAACAGCGCACGCCCGGCTGTGAAGAACAGGGCGGCTGATGGCCTTGGTACTGTAGGGATGGCAGGGACCGGCCGCGGCTGCTCACTTCACACTCACCCAGGGTACGTGCTTTGCAGAGACCTGGAGGCTAGAATCCAAGGCATCCACTCTCAGGCCTTGTGTTCTTTCTGCTCCCTTACATTTCTTTCTTAGGTAAATGCTATCAAGTGATAAGAACAGGAAGTACAGTCTAGGTGACCTGGCTTCACGTGATGAGGCGCTTTTTGTCTCCTCTGCCACCGCTGGCTGAGTCCTTACCTGTGTGATGTCCTTCGGGCTCTGCCCGTGTTTTCCCAAATGAGGGCCATGTACTGGTTGGCCAAAAAGTCTATTACATTTTCCCATAAAATAAAAGACACATTTTTCATTTTCACCAACAGCTTTGTTGATTTGGATATTTTCAGTATGTCAGCTATCCCCCGCTATTGGCTTCTAGCAGGTGGAGGCCAGGGGAGCTGCTAAACACCTTCCGATGCACAAGACAGCCCACAGCAAAGAATTATTTGGCCTAACGTCAGTAGTGCCAAGAAACTCTGCAAACCACTTTTGACACATTCGATCAGTCATAGTGCCTTCTTCTGCACAAATCTTTTTCTGCATTTCAGTTGCATTTTTACCTTTCTTGAAATAAAAAAGCATAATACACCGAAAATAGTGCATATCTTCTTCCATCTTCAATATTAAAATGACTGCACAAAAATTCACCAATTGTGATTTTTTTTTTAATGCACGCTGATATGACAGCTGTCACAATACAGTCTTAGCAAAAATGTTTTCAAATGAGGTTCAAGACAACTACGCACTACTAGGGCCATCATACAGAGAAAAGTAACGGACTTTTTTGCCAGCGCCATGCCATCGGCCAGGCTGTGTGCTGCACGACCCCAGTGGATGGAGCCCGAGTCCCGTCCGCCATGCGGTGTGGCAACCTTGATCGGGGGTCGCCAGCTCGCCGTGGACACAAAATAGGCACGGCATTGCGTAATAGTATACGGTCACGTCCTGTTCGTTTCTCCTGCTGCCCCACTAATTTTGTCAAAGAGGACGTTGCCATTGTCTCCAACACAGTTTGAACCCCTTTCCTACCTCGCTATTCACCCTCCAGTAAAGAGAGAGCAGGCTTGTGTTTAGAGCCTTAACAGGTAATAGAATTCTCAGTCAGGTTATAAAGTTTTATCATTGTTATCTGTTTGTTAGAAATTGGATCAACTCAGTGAAAATAAGTAAATAAATAATCATCCGGTTTTACATGAATATGGCGTGTGGAGGCAGTTCCCACGTGATTGGAGTTTGGAGAACTCAGGGCAGCGCGGCCGGGTGGTCAGGAGCACAGGGGCCGGGCCTGGGGTGGGGAGCGCGTTTTTATGGGGAAATGGCACATGAAATTGGTTGGTTTGATTTACACCAGCTCTGCTCCATCAGGGACATCCAGTCACTGTTTTCCCCCTGATAAGAGACACAGCCTGTTTCTGACGCACATCACTGTGGTCCTCGGGAATATTTTTAGAACAATAGTTACAAGGTAGGAGAAAACCAGTGCAGCCCGAGCGCTGGTGCATTTCAAGGCCGCAGAGCGACAGACGGCTGCTCTGATCCGCCTCTCAGTCGTGGGCTCTGTTCTTTCTCTGTCAAATTCAGGGAATCTTCTTTCCTTGAAATGGCAAGGTTTTGCCAACAGGACAACAACAGAAGGCAGTGTCCAAATTCTGTGAAAAATAAAAACAAAACAGCCCTGGCTGGACATCCCAGTGGGTTAGAGCGTCATCCCGAGACACCAAGGTCATGGGGTCGATCCCTGGTCAGGGCACATGCAAGGCTCAACCAGTGAGTGAGTCAGTGAGGGGAACAACAAACCTCTCTCCTGCTCCCTCCCTCCCCCTCCCTTCCTCCCTTTTTCTCTTTCTAAAGTCAATAAATAAATAGAAATTTTAAAAAAAAAAACAGAAATACTACAACCAAGTGTCGATGCCATAAATGTCCACATTAAGGACCAACTCCAAACCATACAGCCAGACACTTTACAAAGCATGTGCATTAATCCTCAAGGTATTTTATCTCATTCATGTTACTTGACCCAGAATACATCAGACCGAAGGCCGCTACTAGGCTCTTTTGTAAAATATCATGAGATAGACAAAGCACTTTAAGATGTCAGATTTCATTTCCTAAGGAACCTCCTGGTTATGAAGATTATAACTAGTTAGTATTTTTCAGGACTTAATAGTGCGCAATATTGTCAGCACAGGTGCATGAGGGGCACACACCTCCATTAACTTACAAGTGCCCCAGGCCCCGGAGAATCGGCCCTAGCCGGGCGCGGGCAGTTGAACTCAGTGTCCACTGCAGGCCTGACTGCCTCCCACCCCGAAGCTAACCCGCAGGCGAGGCTGAGGGGCTCTGGACCGAGAATTCTCAGTGCGGGGGACATGGAGAATCCAGAAGGCACTGAGCGGAGCAGAAAACAGTTACTGTGGCCAAATCCTCCTCCTGCTGAGACCCGAGGCCAGGGTGGTCAGGAAGCCGGGAGGAGCCAAGCCCCAACTCGGCCAGTGGAGCCGCTCAGGTGTGCAGAGCGACTGAAAAACCAGCCCTCTTAGGAACGTGGTCCTCCCGAATAAACTGGGAGCCCGACGGAATGAGGTGCCAGGGGTCACGGAAGGCAGCGACCATGCCCCAGGCCGACTCCGGGTGCGCGGCGTGTGCAGCCACCACGAACTGGGAATCAGGCTGAGCCCCCCGCAGCGGCACTGACCGCTGGGAGTACTGAACTGACTCCTGAGGGCGCCCGACCCTTCCTCAGCACCGTGATCCCTAACGACTGGGTCGCTGGTCTATATTCCAGATTTCCTCTCTGCCATCTGAAGATAAAGCATTTTCGTATCTTCATGTGCGAAAGAGTTATGGATATGATGAGCATTTAAAAACTGCATGTATTTATTCAGTTTCCTTCGCAATTACAAGGTGGTAGTTGGTTTTCTTAACCACCTGCAAGCACTTAAATTAATCTTTCCAGCTCTTATAATTACATCTTAATTATTTCTGAGCAGAGCCTTTTTTCATCCTTACGCTAGGACTGCATGATTAATCTCGGATACCTAGTCTTTTTGTTCTCTTGTGTGTCCCTTTTTATTCACCTTGTTCTCTTCGGTGACCCACACAGTGCACATTTGTTCAAGTGCAAAGAACAGCTATTTTCCTCCTCTTTTCTAATGTGTACTTTTCCTGCAAATGACCCATATTCTACTGTTCTGCAAAAGCACCAAGCACATTTATACAGTTTAAGTTAAATATAATGTTAGGGTTATAGCTTTTTGATCTTATTAGTCATTTAAACTGTTCCTATTTTTTGTTTCC